CAGTTGCACATTTATACTGACTGCTTGAAAGCCCTTCCCTGTTAAGTGGTGCACAAGTCTAATAATAATTCTCGCAAAGTCTAATGTCCTTAATGTAGAGCAATTCGCTTGTTTGTTCCCCTCCCCTTATTTTTAAACTAATTTTTAAACTTGTATGTTTATGTCAGAAATTATCAATATACTGGACAATATGGCCAGATCAGTCTTACCCATTCCCCTCGTAATCCTGAAGACATCAATCAGGCTATCTCACATTCAGGTCAAGAGAACAAATCATTCAGAATCCTAAGACCTGTATCATTTTGTTTACTGCCCTCTGTACTCTCCCCATCAATGACAATAATATCCTCCCTAAGATTAATTTGTTTTTATTAATCTTCTCAAATAAATCTGCCCTCCATAGAGGATTGGAATGTATAGTCGCAGAGTTACAAATCAATTAGTCAGTCTCATCTGTTTGTGTTCCGAAGATGAGGTAACCAATGCTACATACTGTGCTCCAGATGGGGTCTGACCAACGCTTGTACAGTAACAATTGAACTCTTTTTTTCCTACCACAAAGCACTCTTTATCATTTTATACAGAGTAACCTCTAAATCTTTTATGATCAGCATTATGCATGCTGTTCCAATACTCACTCCCTTTTGGTGCCTTGCTCCAATACAAACTATTTTTCACATCGAAAGAGCAGGGAATTGCAATTAGAATAGCTGGCTCCATTGGGGAAGCTAGTACTGACAGACATAATGGGCTAAATGGCCTCTAAGTCTATGAATCATCAGAGCTGTATATAAGCACAGTAAAAAAAAAATCTAAATCCTTCTGAATCTGCATTCATTCACCCTTGTTATTTCCTTGTTATTGATTGCATTTATCCTTGTTATTTCCTTTGGACAAAACATGAAACTGTGGTCACATCTGCCTGTTCAAAAAAAAAGGATGTTTCTACTGGAGGCCTACCAACAACCCCCCAGATAAAATTAGTCATTCATTTTTATGGTTGATCGTGGCACATTGCTGCGTGCAAATTGTTTGCTGCATTCGCCTACAAAGTATAGTGACTATACATTATAGCAAATTCTTTGACGCCTTTGGCCTACAATTAATGTTAAACTTGCTGGTCAAGATTGTCCATCTCAAGCCTCTTTTAAACGATTGAGTTAAATTAGCTATTTTCTAATTCTCAACAATCTATTCCAAATTCAACAAACAGTGAAAACTATATTTAAAATAGCATTAATTTGAGTCCTCGTCTTTAAATCCTTGCATAGGGGCTATTAGTCTGGAACAGTTATTTTAATCTAACTGCAAAACATTGCAAATCTACTGTGCCTTCTTGCCCCAGAAATATAATCTTCATTTCTTAGTTGTACTGCCATAATAACTTTGACTTTCTGCTATGCTACACTAACAATTATAAAAGCATTGTTTGAGTTATGCAGGTGGAATTACTCTTGCTACGCAGAGCAGTTAGTGTGAAAGACATACCCCCTATGCAAAAAAAAGTGGAAATCCAGCCGACTGGGAAACTTCTAAGAAGCAACAAAGAAATACAAAGAATTTGATAAGAGGTGCAAAAAGGGAATATGAGAAAAATTTGCAAGGAATATCAAGAACAATAGTGAAAGTTTTTATAAATATTAAGAGAAAGAGAGTGGCAAAGGAGAATTTGGGCCCATTAAAGACAGATGTAGGTGAAACTATATTGAATAAGGAAATGGCAGGCTTGTTGAATGAATACTTTGCTTCCATTTTCACAGTAGAGGAAGATGACAAATTACCAGCAGTACAAGGGACCCTAAAATTAAGTCAAAGAGAAGTATTAAATGGATTTAAGATAAATTAAAACATCGTAATGGATAGTCAAAAGATAGACAAATCTCCAGGACCTGATGGACTTCATCCCAGAGTATTACAGAAGTAGGGAAGGAAATTACAGGTGCATTGGTCATAATTTTCCCAAACTCTCTACATTCGAGAATTGTGCTCTTGGATTGGAAAATTGCAAATGTCATTCCATTCTTGAGGGAGGGAGGGAGGGAGGGAAGGAGAGAGAAACCAGGTAAGTACAGAACTGTCAGCTTTATTTTAGCTGTGGGGAAGTTACTGGAATCTCTCACCAGGGCTAGAGCGACTGAGCACTTGGACAAGTATGAGCTAATCAAAGAGTCAGCATGGATTTGTGAAGGGTAGATCATGTCTGATGAATCTAATTGAATTTTTTGAGGAGGTCTCTGACTTGGTGGATAAGAGAGTGTCTGTAGTTGTCGTATACATGACTTTCAGAAGGCATTTGATAAGGTTCCGCACAAGAGGTTATTAGCAAAAATGGAATCGGAGGTAAATTTGCGAGGTGGCTTGGAAATTGGTTGGGAGGCAGGAAGCAAAGAGTAAGAATAAGAAGAATGTTCTCTGATTGGTGGGATGTGACAAGTGGTCTTCCCCAGAGGTCTGTACTAAATGACTTGGATGAAGAAATGGAGTTTTATATCAAAATTTGCAGATGACACAAAGTTAGGAGACACAGTAAATTGGGTAAATAGGAGCAGGAAGTTGCAAAGGGACTTAGACAGATTAAGTCAGTGGGCAAGACTGTGGCAGATGGAATTCAGTGCGGGGAAGTGTGAGGTCATTCACTACGATCCAAAAATAGCAAAACAGAATATTTTCTAAATGGTAAGAGAACTGTGGAGTTCTGTAGCTCAGTGGTTAGAGCACCCGCTTTGCAAGCGAGACACCTGGGTTCACTTCCCGGCAGGGCGAAACCTTGGGCTAGTTTCCTTACTCCACACGCCGTATAATAATCCCTCCAAACAAAACAATAATAAATTGGTCACTTCAATCTACGACTGTTTGTGTGACACTGCTGTGCGCAATTGGCTGCTGCATTTCTCTCACAAATATACAGTCAATTCACTTTACAGTCTATTCTGTGAAGCGCTTTGAGATGCCAAGAAGACGTGAAAAGCGCCATATCAAATGCAAGGATTATTATTATTATAACTGTGGAGGAGCAAAGGGATTTGGGTGTCCACGTACACAAATCACTAAAAACAAGCTCACAGATACAAAACGTTATCAAAAAGTGTATGGGATGTTGGCCTTTATCTCAAGGGGGCGAGAATTTTAAAGAAGAGGAAATGATGCTTCAACTGTATAGAGCCTTGTTCAGACCCAATTTGGAGTACTGGGTTCAATTTTGGGCACTGCACCTCAGAAAGAATATATTTGCTGTGTAGGGGGTGCACCACAGATTCACCAGAATGATATCAGGGCTTAAAAAGTTAAATTATGAGAACGGGTTGCATAAACTTGGTCTCTATTCCCTTGAGTTCAGAAGGTTGAGGGGTGATCTGATTAAAGTTTTCGTTCGATTGGGGAGATAGAGAGAAACTATTTCCTGTGCTGGGGGAATCCAGAACAGGGGGATATAATCTTAAAATTAGAGCTAGGCCATTTAAGAATGAAATCAGGAGGCAGTTTAACATCCAAAGGCCAGTGGAAATCTGGAACTCTCTTCCCCAAAAAGCTATGGATGCTGGATCCATTCACATTTTCAAGTCTGAGGAGGATAGATATTTGTTAGGTCAGGGTATTAAGGCTCATGGAGCAAAGGTGGGTAATTGGAATTGAGGTATAGATCAGCTATGATCTTATAGAATGGCGGAACAGGCTCGAGGGGCTGAATGGTCTTCTCTTGTTTCTATGTTTTTAATGACTTTGATGATAGGATGAGTGGGAAGACGATAGTGGACGTTCTACACAATGGATTAAATTATATTAGCTCTCTCATCACAACCCAAGTGACTATTTATATCAACAGGGGAAATAGATTCATGTTTCACTTTCAGTGCTGGTGATTCAATGTCACTTATTTTCAAAGTCGCTAAATCACCCAAACATTTCTTGCCTCAAGTTTCTTGTACAAATCCACACAGAATATTATCTGAAGAACAGTATTCTAGAATTTATGCATCTTGTGTCATATTTAAATCCTTAGAAAACAGCAAATTAAATCTAAACTGGGGAGCAGTGGTATACATGGAAATTATGCAACAATTGAATGTGACTAAATGAAATTGGTTTGGGGACGGTCTATGCAATGGATTAAATTACATTAGCTCTCTCATCACATCCAGGGTGGCTATTTATAGCAACTGGGGAAATAGATTCATGTTTCACTTTCAATGCTGATTCAAGATCACTTATTGTTGTTGGCAATGCATTTTGGTAACCAAGTAACTAGGAACTAGCAATAAAATTTGCAATAAAAAGCCTTTTTAAAATATTTCTTCCAATTTTTCTTTCTGGTGGGGCATTTACCTCAAGGCAGCCTTGTCCAAATAGGAAAGCCCAAAATACAGATTCTATAACATCTGATATCTATGGTTTCTGAGTTGCCCAAAGTGGGAATAATTCATTTCATGCAAAATGAGCATCTAACCTTCCCATCTTCACTTCTACGGAACTGTTTCCACTTTAGTGTAGAGTGCACAAGGGACATGATGAGTACTGATATAATAGTACATTAACTGATGCACAGCTTTTTATGGGGAATTGTAGTAGCTCCAGAGGAATTTGATCCAGAAACAGATAAGATCTTGCTGTGATATGAACTGAATCTATTTTTGTATTATTAGTTATTGGTAACAATGCAACTTATTCAGCCATACTAAGGTTTGAATACTAAGTTTGAATACTAAGCCATACTAAGGTTTGAATCTGCAGGCTGAGATCACTGAGTATTTCCTTAAACTGCTGTGGAGCTTTGTGAGATTTGTTTCCTCTGAGCCACTTCAAGAGATATTTGACTCTTTCTCTTCTTGATTCAATGAACTTAAACTCTCTCAGTGCATTGATTGGGATTTAAACTCAGAAGCCTTTGATTCAAAGTCTCAAACATTCAACCAACTAGGATTCTTGGGGAGAATTTGTCCTTGTTTCCTTTCAAAGCTCTAATTAGATGCGACAATGTTCTTAATTTTTTTATATATTCCTAGGGGAAGAAGCCCAGCACAAGCAGAATTGTGTTTCTTAAACAAAGCCAAGTGGCTAGAAATGTATGGAGTGGATATGCACACTGTAAAGGTAAGTTTAGTTGGAAGACATTTTTAAAAAATAAATTGTTAGTGGACTATGTGAAACCTAATCCCTTCTGTAATTGCTGTTCTCTATAGGGAAGAGACGGTTATGAGTATTCCCTTGGATTGACACCAACAGGCATCTTGGTCTTTGAAGGATCAAACAAAATAGGCCTGTTCTTTTGGTAAATGAATCTTTTGTTGTGTTTAAATTTAACGTTGTTTGAAAAGTGCATGCTGACAAAACTGTTTATTTTCCTGTGGACAAAGTGCTTTTTATGTTTTGTTTAGGCCTAAAATCACCCGCCTTGATTTCAAAAAGAACAAATTAACTCTTATTGTCGTGGAGGATGATGAGCAGGTGAGTAGCTCTTTGCCAGATCTGGGTAACAGTGCACAAGAACCCAGTTAGTTGAATCCTGCACAGGAATGATTCATTCTCTTGATGGCTAATAATAGTCCAAAATCAGACCTTTCTGGGTGATTTTAATCCTTTGCCAATGGTTAAATTTGATTCACAAAGCTCCCTTTTATGTTTTAAAATAAGTGAAATTTCTTAAAAAGTACAAAAAGATATTTTCACGAGCAGGTTTTCTGTAGCCTAACCCAACTGTTAGTGCAGTGGGCAGCATCAGTTGGTGCATTAAACTAGTTGGTGTAGTAGACTTGACTGTTGGTGCATTAGAGTGTGTTGAAGCATTGGTTTACACCCTTTATCTGAGCAACCACTCTGAAGGGAATGTAGTAGTAAGCTGTTGGCTCACAGGTAAGCAATGAAATCTGATGATAAATGGTTTTCAGCTCCGCCACTGTACCCCATCCATTGCACGAGCTGTTCCATTGGTGGAGGTCTAGAATCAAGTCATGTATCATGAGAGGCTGGTGCACAACATTGTAGAATAGGGCAACTTTAAGGAAGTTAAAGGTGAAATGCTACAGAAAAGTTCAGTGCATGTAATAGTTGGGTTGTAATGCATTCTTGTCAGCTGCATTGTCCAAAACATTTGTTGCTTTCAAAGTAGCTTTTCATTCGAAGCAAAATATTCCCAAGATATCAGGAAGGGCTTTCTCATCTCAACATCTTTTTCTCTTTCCCCTCCCTCCACCTATACCCCTCCCTTTTGACGAAAGGGTAGGGAACAGGAGCATACGTTTGTTTTCCGGCTAGATAATTCCAAAGCCTGTAAGCACTTGTGGAGATGTGCCGTGGAGAACCATGCCTTTTTCAGACTGCGAGCACCTACCCAAAGCAAAGCGGGGCGGTCGGATTTGATGCGTTTGGGTTCTCGCTTTAGGTTCAGGTACAGTTTCATGATGTACTGATTCTTTTGTTTCTCCTTTATCCTGTGTCCATAACACTGCTTCTGTAAAAGCAACCCATTCTTTATTTCAGTGGCAGGACTGAATATGAAGCAACACACAAGAGTAGATTACGTCGGGCGAGTACATTTGAAAGACGCCCGAGCAAACGCTACCCCTCACGGAGGCATTCCACAGTGAAAGGTATTGTGTGCCTGACCTCACTCCTTCCTTTTCTTTGCATTTAAATCTTACATTACAAAGAATTTTGCAATAATGATTCATTTTTTATTTAAAACTTTAAGAGCCTTCCAGTATTGTGACCATTTTCATAAGAATGAGGGGATTCCAGGGTTTGGGGGAAGAAGAGAAACTCTACATTGTTCATTCAAATAAATATATATATACATAATAAAAATATATGGATTGAATTTTCATTTAATATCAGGATGTTCTTCGTAGACTTGTGAATCGTGACGATTATATGAACCGTTATTGATGGGAACATTGATCATTTTGATTGCCAAGTACTACTTATTTCTTCGAGATTTGAGCAGCTTGTGAAACCATTTTGTCACACTTTCGATCACGAAAACTGATCAATTTGATGTGAAAGTGCCATGGGGCAGAATGAAACAAATAGACCAGAATCAAAGATTTGATTCTGCCTGACCTGTTGAGTGTTCCCAGTGACTTCTGTTTTTGTTTCAGAGTTCCAGCATCTGTGGTATTTTGCGTTTTGACAAAGATTTGATGGTTTGCTTCAAGGGTTCTGAACCAAGGCATAAGTGTCCATTAACAACAATTTACCTTTATTTAGCCACCCTCATGCAGGGAGGATAGTGTCCCAGAGCGCTTGATGTACAGATGTACATAAACACATGTAAATGTGCATTCTGAAGTGCCCTAGGGTCTATTACGGAGTACATGTTTGAGAGCAGATTGACATTTCTTCCACAGATATATGTACTTTGGATATGATGGGGTCCTTATGAGTTGTGATTTTATTGTCCCTGTGATTTTGTCAGGTCAGAAATCCTGTCTACTGACATTTTGATCCTGTGTCTACTTTCCCCTCCTGTTGAATAGTTTGGATGCATGTGAAGCATGGTCGAGTTTTGAGTAGACTTTAAAGAAGGGGCCCAGGTATCTCCCAAGCTACAGCAGGAAGCCCTACCTTACCCATTCCAATTTCATTTAGCGCATAGGGGCGTCTGCATGACCATCAAACGTGTCAATACATTTGCAATTCATAGTGTAACTTCAAAAGGTAGGAAGCCACTTCAGCATCTCAACACATTGTAATACACATTACCTTCTGCATTTAGTGGGCAGGTCTTCATACTAAGCCAGAATCAGGCACACAGAGTAGCACTGCGTTTGATATGCTTAATGATCTTGCCATCTACCAATTTACAATCTGTTTCTTTGCAGCTCCAAATCCAACGAAATATGGCCAATCCAGGTAGGATTTTTTTTCTTTCAAGAGAAACATTGTAGAGTTAATTTATCAGATCATTCCTTGGCCAGTCGCAGTTTACCAATGTTCTTAACACAGCACTGGGGTTAATTCAGCAACATAATGTTATTGCTTTGAATGGACTTGAATGAGCCAGAGAAGACATCTGTAAAACTGGTTGTTTTACTGAACAGTAATCTGAGTATCTGATATCCTGTTAACTGTCAACTGGAAATCCAATGCTACGGATCTGTTTTTACAGTTGTGACTATTGGAAATTACATTGGGCGGCCCACCTAAAGCACATCCAAGTATATTTAATTGATTTGAAAAATATCAAATTTCCACTGAATTTGACCAGACTATGTTTATCTGCAGTTTGTTTGTCTCATTTCTTATTTGCTGATTTTCAGATATGTTAGATTCCAGGTTAGGCTCTATTGACCTAATAAAGGTTGCGTGAACAAATTATAGATTTCAGACCTGGCTGAGTATTCTAAACAAACACATTGATAAATAATACTCATCACTGTGCATTTCTTTCCAATCCTGCAATTGCAAAATTAATATTTTGTATCGGCCCAACTCATGCAGGCTACAATTCCATGGATGTCAAATGTCCTCAAGTATTTCAACTAAGTGATTATTTTTCATGTGTGAGCCCAGATTGTCAGTGTCCATGAGCTAAGCAAATGTGAAGAGGCATTACAGCTGATCCTGATACTGACCTTGCCCAGTTTGAAATCCATTGTGTTTCACTGTGAATGTGGAGCTTAACTAGTGATATTGATAGGAACATGGACATTTGCAATCTCTATACCATGAGCACATTTGCTTACATACTGTTTGCATGTCATTAGCACTAGTTTTATTGATTCATTTTTTTGATTTTTTGTTTTTGGCAGTACACACAACAATCCTGAAATTCATGACTACCAGGTAAGAGTGGCATTTCTCAACGAACGGGCAAGCATGATGCTGGTAATATCCAGGTTACAGTTAGAAGTGGAAAGTCTGAAAATTATTGTAATTATCATCTTTGCTATTTTTAGGCTCCTTATATGTGTAACATTCCCGCGGTGCAGCAACACTGGCATCCCAGTAACATAAGGTAAGTAGCGTCCTGTTACCATTCAGTGCATTCAATAATAATAATAGACTAAAGATTAAAAGTAAGCTTTGAATATTTCCGATTTTATACCAAACAATGAATGACGTGGGATTGGAAAGCTAATTTGGGTGTGCATTGTATCAACATTATTTAAAATGTATAAAAATGTATAAAAGTATTGTGATAAAATAAAGGTTATCACATTTAGATGAATTTGCCTGTTATTTTCTAAGGCAATGGTGGGTAGATAATTTTAATTGGATTTCAAATCTTATTACATTGAATGCTAACATGCATCTAAGAGATTAGTATTGCTGCTATAAATGATCACTACAATGAACTACTAGAAATGATCACTATTATAAAACATTTTGCTAGCAGACCAAGCTTTTCCTTTTTGTATTGTGAATTAAACTTTCAGACCTGCTTACTGATGGATTAGTTTCTTTTTATAAGCTTTAGGAATGTTAAAGTGGTTACTGTAGTGATTGTAATATGCTGTTTCTGTTTTTGCTGGGTATTGTCTCCACTGCTATGTTGTTCAGAATCACATGGTGGAGGGCGATTTCATTTTCTGTGGTGTTACTGGGAACTCTTTGGTGGAGGGAACTGAGTGGATCAATACAGCTCACATGGTGCCTTCATTCCACTGTACAAACATCCTTCCTAATTCCTTAATGGTGTGCCTCTATGTGTGCATTACTTACTAAATCTGAGCTATTTAACATCATTGATGGTGATAGAAAACAATCTTTTTTTTAAACTTGTTGAAGTTGGAACTATTGAAGGAGCTGCAAAACCTAGTTACTTAACAAATGACTTCCTATTAAAAGTCAAACAGGAATTGATAAGAATGTGCAGATTTTAAGAAAAGAAAGTGGTGAATGTGGAATTGTTGGCGGTTTGAAGCTTTTGGGAGGGAATGTTCTTTATGAGCTGACTTTAAGCATGTCCCTGCATGTGCTGGAAATTTGCTTGGCACTGATCATTAAGTAATATAACAACAGTCTCATTCTGCAGATTGCTTGATGCATGACATTGTAATCTCTTGCTGTGCCACTTTCCCTTTGGACTGATTGTGGGTAGAAGGTAAACCCCACAGGAAGCTGTTTGCTTTGTCAAACAGCTCAATCACTATTTTTGCTGTCATTCCCATTTCATGCATTTCTTCCTTTGGCTGCTTTTTCTCTCTCTCTCTCTCTCTCTCTCTGCATGTCATTTGCTCAGTAATTTGCTGACGGTCCATATGTTATGTTAAAATCGCATTTCACTAACTGCTGACTGTGCACACGGTACAGGCCATCGCCCCATGACAACAGGCACAAACATTACAACCGGACACCATCAGCACCAGATGGCAGAAACGCAAGATATGTTCAAGAGCAGAACCTGAAGAACGTAGGAAGGAATCATAGCATTGATCACGATAAACTCATGACTGCACTTTGAGAAACTAGGAAAATACTTGTTCCTATTTACGATTTGAAACCATTCCCCCATTTCAGTTGCAGTCCAGCGTTATCTGTGGAGACAAGTAATTCAAAAGTGGGAAGACACTGGGAAAGCACATCGTCTTTTATCATTGGATGTACAATTCTCTGTAGACATTTCTACACACTAAAGATTCTCCTTCGTCTCCTCAGTGTATTGCACAGCGAACGTTTAGTATTTCTTTTGAAATATTAGCAGATGCTATGGTTTTTGTTTGACATGTGATGCATCATACAGAGTGACATGTTATGTTTGCCACAAATTAATGACCCATGTGCTGGTAGAAACAGGAGTTTGAGCAGGTTGAATATTTGCCAAAGTTGAGACTTTCTCCTGTGGTGAAAGCTTACAGTTTTGAGTAATAATTACATTCAATATATCTGTGAATTTGTGTGTGGGTATGGGGGGTAACCTCAAGATCACTATATTAGGTAAGTAGGGAGGGAGATGAGAGTAAGATCAGGTGACCTAATGGTGATTAGAATATGCTTATGCAGATTTGTTTTTGCCAATTGCTGGGTCTGTCTTCTTACATCATTTTATCTGAACTCTTGAGTTTTTCTCATCAGTTCAGATAGTGCAGATTGTGAGATCAGTAGCTGCTCTTCTATCACACTGCGAATGGGTGCATCACAACTATATCCTTTATGGGTATAATGACTGATGTGCTGCTGCAAGCTATGTGCTACCTATATTGTATCACTTCAGTCAATTTATTTTAGATTTGTTTTAACAACTGTATATTAGAGCTGTACTGGTTAATGAAAATATTTTTAAGTTAGTGAATTTCTTCCTCCTTCCAAACTTTCCCTGTACTGTACATCACATTTAATGAAGAGGCCAGGCAGGCAATCAGTGCCAGGGTAATGATGCTCTGTATCAACTACAGAGAGGTCCTGGGTGAGATTTTTCTGCTCATTTAAATCTTTTAAAAATGGCTACAGCAGTGATGGCCAACCCATGGCCCACAGGCCCACCAAACATTCACACTAGTCTAAGTGAGTCTGTTTTAAATCAATATTTTATTTCCAGTAGCTACTGAGTGTCAATGTTTATGGTGTGGCTATAAATCAAGAAATATTCAATCAAGAAAATTTATTTGGTTGGCCACTGCTCTACAAGCTTTCCTGATGGCTTAAAGGGTAACTTCAGTGCTGCAGGGTTAGGAAATGGATAAATCACTTGGGCTTTGTGCTACCATTTGCATTCCAACAACTCCAGCTAGAAAGTGGACATACTTCAGATGAGGATGGAATCAGCTATGTTATTCTCTTACTTTCTCGCCTTCCTACAGTCACTGAGTGAACTCTTAAGAGAAGAATGATCAGTTTGGTGGTGTGCTGCAAAGCCACTGGTGTCTGTGGCAGGTCCCTCGGTCAGAGTTTATGCCATCAGACAGGGGGAAAAAATTTAAAACAAGACATTTACTACCTCCCTGATGTTAGAGCTGAGATGAGCAGTTCAATGTGTGGAGCAGAGTGAGGACCTGTTCTGGTGCTTTGGGGGCATGGCACAGTGCATTGTGCAGAAGTTGTGTAGTGCTGGGTGGTAAGTGCACAATGCAGTGTTGTCTGTACCTTTTTTTTTAAAACTGTAGGCACAAGTACAGTACAGCAAGGAAACTACACTGAAGCAAGTGGGAACTGTGCATTATTCTGTTTTTAATTAAAATTGATTTTAGCCCACAAAAAATAATGAGCTAATCCATGATGCTGGTGTAGGACTGAGCCAAGCCCAGTTCTACCCAGATATTTGATCCAGTTGTTCTCTCTTATTCTTCTCTCCAAGTTAGTTTCAGTTCCAAATCCAGCACTGTAATACGTTTCCAGTCTTTTGAGCTGATAGGCAGGTTGCACAGTTGCCTACACAGTTTTATATACTTTTCATTGTAATGGTTTATTGTAATCAAATGTTTGCTACCATCACTAGTAGAATATTGAATTACACTAACTATTTTGCATAGCCTGGTTGTAGGATAAAGTCAAAGTATGCTGTCAACTGCATTGGTACCTGATAAAACTGACAAGAGTTACTCAAGAACGTTTAGGTGATTTGCTTTAGGAACATAACAACTGGTATCAAATGATCTTGAGATAATGGATAAACTTTTTTTAAAGAGAAAAATTTGCTAGCTTTTTAATTTGTTTATGGAGCAGCTTATTTTATTCATTTACATAAACATTTCCTTAACCATTGCTTTGTAAATATAAGACTGCTCCTTCACTCTCTTTCACTTTCACATATGTTCTTTTCAATCAGTAGAGTGTGATGAAACAAATTTTTCTAATGGTCCAAAAGCGTGATGTGTTTAAAAGCTCAAGGTGTCACTGAACATTAGACACTACAGTGAACAAATACAATACTATTCAAAGCAGAATTAGAAAATAGGTTCCAGTGCGTTGAGAGCCTGAAAAACATTCAATGTCAGCCCTTCAAAAAAAATTCTTCATAAAACCTGTCTCCGTGTTACATTCATGTGTTTTTATAGCAAAATGTTTCCACAATTTCAAAGCTTTATATGTGGGTATCCACCCACCCTGACCAGATTACATTAGAGGAGAGTGAATGACTGTCTAATCGTTAAGTGCAAGCTCAATCGACTGAACACATTTGATTTACTTCTCTTCCATTCTTCATCTTCATAAACATTACTCAAAACTGAACACCAATCATCACCAGATTTTCGCCAGGGCACACTGGCATACATTCATTTACTCTTCCACGAACCATCCAGTCCTAATCGTTTGTTGAGGCTCATGGATATAGCCTCTTAATTTTCCTCATTCTTTAATTGTGCTTGTGCTGACTGGAGAGGGCACAAAGCAGGCCAGTGGCTTTTAATGAATGTAACTTTCCTGCTAGCATATTTTTAAATATGAACCAAATGTATTTTTTCTTTATAAAGGGAGAGATAATTTCTGGAGTTTGATGTGTAAATCCAGTGGACAAAAAACATTTTATGGTCTTAGATTTAAGTCTAAAAATTTAATGTGGTGCAGAATTGGAAAATTCTGTGTAGAATTACAATTTTATGAAAGTTGAGACTTGAGAGCATTATCAATTATGTGCTTATGGTGTAGATGCTACATGGTGAATCATTGATCTGTGTTGAATTAATTACTATGTATACTATTGATGGGTTTATTTTTTAGTTTTTGAGGGCATAGTGTTATGAATCTAGCCAGCACAAACAAGTCACTGTATGCATAAATCTAATGAATAAAATAGATAATTATGTAGCAAAACAAATTCTGTACATCACGATTCATTTTCTGCAAACTAGAAATTGTACATCAAACTAGCAGAAGTTTGGATAGTCTTGTAAACATTGAGGGAAGTCATGTTTACAGCCACCTAGAAACTCTGGAACTCCCTGCCTCAATCTCTCCAGTTAAGCCCCTCCTTAACCAACTTAAGCACCAGCTTTCCTTTTTGACCATGTCTACGGTCACCTCACCTTTCTCTTCGGCTTGGCGTAAATGATTTCAAGAAGGGTGCTATATACATTAAATTCATGTTGTTACCATCCAAAATATGCAATGCAATACAAAATTACATTTGTATAGCGTCTTTCAGCTCGGGAGACAATGAAAGTCTTTATTTCTTCCCACGAATAATGACTTCTCCATTCCACCCAATTGACCTCATTCCTTACAGAATACCCACCCTACCATCTTTATGTGTCATCAATCTGTTTCTTAAGTGAGGCCAGTATCCTTCAGGGTCCTCATCACCCCTTCTGCTAATCTGTTTGTTATCAATTGTCCATTGTGTGTGGAAAAAAAATACTTCTGTCTTAAAATATTTCTTTCCTAGCCTGAGTCTGTATGTTTAGTCCTACTGCTTAAGTATGTGTGAAAATTTGGTCCTGACTTTGCCTCATGTAGAATCTTGGATATCTCTGTAAAGTTACCTCTGTAAGCTCTCCTCCGTGACAGCGACTAAAAAGTCCTGAAAGGCCAAGTTCATGTTCATCCTTCTAACACTGGGGATCATCTTCATTGTTCTCCTGTGCACTGATTTAGAGCCCGATTTCCTTCTGTCATGACGACGAGAACAATTTGCAGTATGTTACTAGGGAACTGTACAACTTGAGGTTATCTTGTTAGGATCTGAATGCAGTTGATTTGGCAATATAGTGCAGCATCCCATTTGCCTCATCGCTACCTTGCAATGTTTGAATGTGACGAGCAGTGAAATCAACTTGCAGACCGAGGTCTCGTTTACAACAATAATTTACATGGTACTCTTCGTGTAGAATAATGTATCAGATTTCTTTCAACTTCCCCTTGGCAATCTCTTTCCCATCCGTGAAGTACATGTTTGCAGGGCTATGGGGAGAGAGCAGGGGAGAGGAATTGATTTGGATAACTGCATTCAAAAAGAGCTGGCACAGACACGATGGGCCGAATGGCCTCCTTCTGTGCTGTATGATTCTGTGTGCCTATTTGCATTTCCTACCTGCAGTTCATTAGTACTGCTAATGAAACATTACGACATGTTAATGTTGGGAAGAACCCAGAATCATAGAAAATTATAACACAGAGAACGGCAATTTGTCTGTGCTGACTCTTTTAAAGAGCAATCCTTTCAATTCCTGCCCTTTCCCTATACCCCTGTAGTTTACTCCTTTTTAGATATCTATCCCCATGTACAGTGAGACATTTTGATATTAAAAATGTACCACATTTGAAATACTTCAGAACTCAATAAGCACCAATTCAGATGTTTTAATGGATTTTCAATGAGATTGTTGAGTACATGCACAGAATAGAGATAGCGTAGAGTGGCACATATTGTTGGTGCTTTGCTACTTGACACTGTGGCAAACTGAGAAATGTGTGTCTTGTTCGTTCATGATTGTTTGTGAGACATTACTTTGTGCAAATGGCTCCTGTGTTTGCCTACAACAACAACAATATCAAAATGACACTTGTATAGAACCTTTCATGTCGGTAGAGCATCCCAAGGCGATGGACAATTAGTATTTTGGACCCGAGCTAGGGGTTGGGATCAGGGTGGATAGAGAGCAGGGAGGGAAAGAAGATGACCGAAGACACGGTCGAAGAGGAGGGTCTTGAGACAGGGTCTTGAAGGAGGAAAGGGAGGGGACAACGCAGAGGGACTGTGGGATGGAGTTCCAGATGGTGGGGGCAGAGTGGCTGAAGGCCTGCCCACTAATTTTGTGGCGGGCAAAGTGAAGGACGTGAAGCAGGCTGGAGCCCGCTGAGTGGAGGTAGTGGGCAGGTTGGTAGGGGTTAGGAGGTTGCAGAGGTAGGGGGGAGCAAGGGCATTGAAGGCTTTGAAGGTAAGGACCAGAATCTTGAACTGTATCCTATGTGTCACAGGAAGCCAGTGGAGTCGGGCGAGGATGGGGTTGAAAGGGTTGTGGAGCCTGGTGCAGGCTGCAAAATTCTGGATAATCTGCAGCTTATGGAGGGAGGAGTTGGGGATCAAGCCTGGATGTTATGAATGTGTGTATAAGAGTCTTGGCAGCCTGTGGTGTGATGCAGTGCGGAGGTGGGGAAAGGCAGAGCGGGTCATAGCACGGATGTGGGGTAGAAAGGATAGTTGAGGGTCAAACAAGACGCCAAGGTTCTGGACTGGCTTAGTGAGGTGGAGTGTGCAACCATGGATGGTGATGCTGTCAGCGCCTGAGGTGGGGAGGTGCTGACGGGAGCCATTCAGGAGAGTTTTAATCGTGTTGACGTTCAACTGAAGAAAGTTAGCTCTCATCCAGGACTTGATGTCTGACAGAATCTACTTTACAGAATAGAGAATGTCTTTTGAAGTGCTGAGACATCCTCCTGATGTGAACGGTGCTGTGTCAAATGCAAGAATAAACCATTGTCTGCCTTGTGTGCTTTAAAACCAAGCACTACTGCAGTGTAGGACTTGTTCTGGGTACATGGAGTAATGGGAAACTGTCCACCTCAGCTGGCATGTTGCTCAGTTCATTGATGTGTGCATACATGCAATACTCTCTCTCTTTGCTTTCAGAAAAAGACTATTTAGTCCATTGTCACTTTATAATCGATGCTAAAGAATACTACGTTTTCTTGAAGTTTTCTGAATGCTGGAGATGTTGGGATAAGTCTGCGTTTTCTGGTAGAATTTAACTTTAGAAAAACGTATTTCTTAAAGCAACTAAAACTCTCTGAAGCTAATATCGATCTGTGTACAGTTGAAGATCTAGTGGTTATAGAGATGCTAATGAAATGAAAGTACTTTCCTTTTCAGTTCAAAGTTCCTGACCTTAATATTAATTGATTCATCTTGGTGTAGGTCAAACTAAGAAGGTATTCTATTGTAGTACCAAAAACGTTTGACATATTGGCATCTATTATAATAATAATAATAATAATAATCCTTGCATTTGATATAGCGCTTTTCACGTCAGGAGGACGTCCCAAAGCGCTTCACAGAACACACTGTAAAGTGAATTGACTGTATATTTGTGGGCGAACGCAGCAGCCAGTTGCGCACAGCAATGTCCCACAAACAGTCGTAGATTGAAAATGACCAATTTTTATTATTGTTTTTGGTTTTTGGAGGGATTATTATTAGGTGTGTGGAGTAAGGAAACTTGCCCAAGGTTTCGCCCTGCCTGGAATTGAACTCAGGTCTCTCGCTTGCAAAGCGAGTGCTCTAACCACTGAGCTACAGGACTCCACATGTGTGTAAGTAAACGAGTATATTATGCACCTTGTGTAAATCCATGTGTACAGAGAATTTGCAGCTGCCCTGAGGATGTATTTATTAACGAATGAAAACGATATGTTAAATTATATAACAGATCTTTTCACAAAATAATTACGTAATTAACAGCACTTGCATTTCCTTTTTAACTAGTGCATTTACTCATAATTTACCCACGGTATATAATAGACCTCATACTTTGTAAGCAGGTTGGAGCTCACAATACTGCAGCTCCCTCCACTCCCGCAGCAATATTTTTGTAAATCTTAAACTTTACACGATGAACTCTCAGAATTTCCAGTATATTATTTTTGACTAAGGTAAGTTGTAAATTTCTTGATACTGAAGCTGTTTGAAAGGATAAACTTGGTGACGGACAAGAGCAGTTAAGTTAGCAGGTGCTTTCAGGGCCTTCTTTATCACCACTGAGAAGGAATAATCGATGCCCCGAATAATCAGTTGTCTGCCCCTTGAGCAAGTCCCATCAACGAGTCAGATTGACTAGGCTGTAATCCGCAGTGCCCTGGAACCCTGTGCACAAGTCTGGCTCAGGAACTTACCTACCGAGGCCGCCACAGAGGATTGGCTTGATTCCGACATTTCTTTGCCAAGCACATCACCTTGGAGCCAGCTCCAAGTGAGACACTGCCTCCCTCTGCTAATAATTCCGACAGAAGCCTGCTAAATGTTTATTTTATGAATTCCATATTTTCATCACTTTAGAAAGGCCCACACAACGTGGAATCTGTTAATATTCTGAAGATAGGGATGTGAAAGCTTTTAATGCCATTTTGAGCTCATATTTTGCTTCCCTAACAAAGTGGTATTGTACCCTACGTAAACAACTGATATAAATATGTAATTCATCTGTAGAATTTAAAGATACATAAAGATAAAGATGAACCATGTTGAAAGAATCACTGTTTTGTCACCATTTAGTGCCTACTGAGCTGCAACATAACAATATGTAAATATTTTTGCGGCTCTTTGGGGTTAAACTGCTAAGGACATTACTAAAGTGGAACAGAATATCGGGAGATCGCGGCAACCAATAAATTATCTGTTTTGATGCTGCTCTAAGCACCTTCAGATATTGGAAGTAAACATTAAAGAGAGAAAGACGATTAAACTTAAAATCCTTATTAAACACTAATGTGCAGCACTCTGCAGATACAAGACCTGATTTATAATGGCGTGTTTAACTCCTACCTAATGAGAGAAGCAAAATGCGAGCAAAACCATAGAAACGTACAGCACAGAGGAGGCCATTGGGATTTTCATACCTGTGCTGGCTCTGATACAGCAATCTGTTTAGTTGCATTCTCTTGCCTTTTCCATATACCCTATTAGAAAGTTAACAATTGTTAAGAGGAGACCAGAAAAGATACAAATGTCAGGAAAGGGAAGGATTTGGAATTTCAAAGCGTCCTGGGTGAAGGGTTTTGCATAGCGAAGGAGAGAAAATGAACAAAAATGAATGAAACATCAGGCCAAAGGAGCGTCTGAGGTGACTGGATCCTTAAGCTTTATGTAATTATGGGTTCACTTAG